GTTATTTATACGCTCTTTCCTTTCACAATACACTAAAGCAGCACACACCCCCTATTACACTCCTTCTCCTACCACCTCACTCTCACACCCCATTACACGCGCGCATGCGCGCACACACACACACACACACACACACGTCTGTGCCACTCTGATATACCTGGTTACACATACACCATTTATGTTCTAGATACACACAGTCCAATACACCAGAACTACCCACGTACATACATTGCTTGGCAGCCCTCCTCACCCTATACGCCCCCTTCACACAGTACAGATAGGTGTGTGGGCAGCCAGTCATAGCCCCGCTTTGTGTCTACCAGGTATGCCAAATACTACAGACATGGGAACGGCACTGAGTACAGGACCTTGATGAAGGCCTTTGGCATCCGCTTTGACGTCCTGGTCTATGGGAACGTACGTACAGCCACACCAGCGTGGGGGACATGGCAAGGCAGCTACTGGGGCAAGGGTCCACATGGCCCTGTAAGAACCATGCCAGTGAAAGTGCATAGGACTTGGCCAGTCAGAATACAGGATGCCATAAGAACCTCTGTGTCCTTTGGCTGTGCCCCCACTGCAAGCCCAGTCCTGGCATTACCTGTGCCTCAGCTCCAAGCTCCCAGTGGGCAGGAGGGGTTCAGCCATTTGCCTTCTAGACTGACCTTGCACAGCCCCTGTTTGCCTTACCCCCAGGACCCCTGCCCCACATTCTTAGGCTCCTACCCCCTAAGCACTGCAGAACCATAGTAAGAAAAAAGGGGATGATTACACACAGTCTACAGCAAGACTTAGCACTAGATCAAGCACAAGTGCCTCTGGGAGGGAGCAGGAGTGGGTATTTAATCAAGTGGAACAGAGTTGCCTGCAATTTCCTTTGAACATTAGCTCCATAGGGTGGGGAGGGAGGGAGCATACACTTTGTGCCTTGATTTCAGGAGGAGGGACAGGCTACACTAATCCTTGCATGGGAAGGAGGGACCATGTCTGACCCCCGATGCCATGTGGAGTCCAGGGGTGATATCCCAGACACTAACCCTTCACTCTGCTGCAGGCTGGGAAATTCAACATCATCCCAACCCTCATCAACGCTGTAGCAGCATTTACCTCTGTGGGGGTGGTAAGTGTGGTGGTCTCTCCTCCTCCTCCTGTCCCTCTCCCCATCCCACAAAGGCCAGGACAATCTCAAAGGAGGCAAGTCCCATCATGCATCTGAGTCCCCTGATGGAAAACCAGGACAGCAAAGGAAGGCCCTCTGCTACCCAGCCCAGTCCATATCGGCAGACCTCCTCACAGCTTGGCAACAGCCAGGCATAAAGATGCCAATATGGTTCCATGGCTACAATGCAGAGATGAGTCCATAGCTACAGGGTTTCACTTACATCACACTTGGGAAGGACTCTACCCCTAACCTCACACAAGCGAGACAATCCCCGTGCAGGGTAAAAGAGGGAAAGGGGCCAGGAGGCTTCCCTGGCTGACCGCAGAAATCCAGGGCAGCCTAAGGGCCAAAAGGGGAGCACACAAAAAGTGGAAACAAGGAGAGATCACCAAAGACGAATATACCTCCTCTGCTCGTGCTTGTAGGGAGGCAGTTAAACGGGCCAAAGCTACCATGGAGCTGAGGATGGCATCCCAAGTAAAGGACAACAAGAAATTGTTTTTTAGATATATAGGGAGTAAAAGGAAGGCCCAGGGAGGAATAGGACCCCTGCTAAATGGGCAGAAGCAATTGGTGACGGACAGGGGGGACAAGGCTGAACTCCTTAACGAGTTCTTTGCCTCAGTGTTCCCAAGGGAGGGGCACGACAAGTCTCTCACTGGGATTGTAGAGAGGCAGCAGCAAGGCGCCAGACTACTATGCGTAGACCCTGAGATGGTGCAGAGGCACTTGGAAGAACTGGATGCCTTTAAGTTGGCAGGCCCGGATGAGCTTTTGCTGAGACTGGCAGCCAGAGTACCGGCTGGTGTCAGTTGTGAAGTTGAGGTTGTAACACAGTTGTCACCAGCACTGCACTGCTCTTAAACTTTGTCTATAAGTTCTAAACTCTTTTGAGTAAGGACCTTTTCTTATCATATACCTACAAAGCAGCAAGATACTCCGCAAAAATAAATAATGACTCATTTCACAAATGTCAGTGAAAAAATTCCAGTTGATGGTAAAAATAAGAACCATTTGTCATTGTCTACCAGAGATGACTCTGAACTGTCGCTTAGAAGTGAAAAGTTCAGTATCATCATTCCCATAAGCTGCCTTATCTGTTACTGTTTATTTATATGTTTGTTACCAATCTGATCTCTATTATTATTATTATTAATGAAGCCCTCTGTTAGAACACATCAGCTATGTCAAATTCTAGCTGGTAACATGACATACTTGGCACCCCTCAGATCCAGGTCTTGTGTGACAGCTTGTCTTACTGTAGTGCCTCCAAAATACAGAGCTGTATCCTCTGCTAGAATTCCACATTCAGTACAAGCATTTCCACCTTCCAAGGACATCCATAAATCTGGTTTAATTTCTTCATTGTCAAAGCGTTCCTTCAGGAAAGTCTGTAAAAAAAGTATGTAGCATTTGAGCAACAACTAGAAGAATCATCCTGCTCTACAGCCTTTTTAGCTAACCCAGTTATAATTTACTTTTGAAGTATGTTTGAAATGTTCATAAAAATAGTAAAGTGATTTTTTTCCTCTCAGGAGCTAAGGTCTACTGCCTTTGTACAGACAGTAAATTTTATTTAAATTATATCACCTGATTGCATCCATCAGATGCAAGACCTAGACAGGTTAGACCAGTGGGCAGAAAACAACAGAATGCAGTTCAACAAGGAGAAATGCAAAGTGCTGCACCTAGGGAGGAAAAATGTCCAGCACACCTACAGCCTAGGAAATGACCTGCTGGGTGGCATGGAAGTGGAAAGGGATCTTGGAGTCCTAGCGGACTCTAAGATGAACATGAGTCAGCAGTGTGACGAAGCCATCAGAAAAGCCAATGGCACTTTATCATGCATCAGCAGATGCATGACGAATAGATCCAAGGAGGTGATACTTCCCCTCTATCGGGCGCTGGTCAGACCGCAGTTGGAGTACTGTGTGCAATTCTGGGCGCCACAATTCAAGAGGGATGCGGATAACCTGGAGAGGGTCCAGAGAAGGGCCAC